TTCAAATAGATGAAAAGATACAATGTGTTTGATAATACAACCTTTGAAAAGATTTCGAATCCTTGGTGATATTATTAGAAATACAAACCAATTTTGATGTTTGTTCTATATGTTTTATTTTTAAAAAATTATAAAGTTTTTAACAATGAGCAAAGAATTGGATAGTCTTCTTGATCTAAGAAGAGATATTATTGATGGTTGAAAGGACCTATTAACTATCTTCAAAGATAATGAAGATCATAATATGTGATTAATATAATTTTTTGTATCTTAGATTGTTTCAACATGTAATCATTGTTCTTTATAAAACTTCTCATTAGAAATAATGGAGTAATATTACAAATATATATTTTAATAGTAGTATTTAATTAAATAAGAGAAATTATATTGAAATAAATAAACATATATAAATATAATAATATCTTATAGAGAAGCTTCATAGATGCAGATTTGACTTTAAACATGGTTGTAGGTGGTTGATAGGTTAAAAACTTGATCAATAAGTTGGCCATATATTGTATATGTTGACTACTTGTTTTTTTTGAATTGCATGTATAGCACTTATATCAAAAAATTATCTTATAAGTTAGATATTTTTCTTGTAAATTAGATATATGTTACACAATCTATAAAATGTTGCCACGTAGATATTTAGTTAGATGATATATAAAGAGATAAGAATGAGATTTTTTTCATTCTTCCAAAAAAAAAATTTAACATTATTTTAAGAATCTTTAGTCTTTTATATTTAAAATTTATCATTTTAATTTTTATTATATATATATATATATAATTATTATTTTTTTAATTATTAAAATACCATATTATTTTAATAAAATTTTTATTATGATTAATATCCTTGAGACCTAATTGTTTCATAAAGATCTTGTCTACTTATAATTTTAAGGATATTTAATACATTTTTTAGTTCTATATGCAGCAAAATTGATTGTAGCCTATGCTTGTAAGCTTATACTTTATTCAAGGTGACAAATGTGAGATACATTATCACATGTATCAGTGCCAAGTTGTGAGTTTTATCAATCGATTTTAATTAATAGAAGTGTAAAAAATATAATTTAAAATTATTTAAATATAAGAAAATTAGGATTAAAGATTATTTATTATTATTTAAGTATTTATTAGAATTTTAAAAAATATGATACAAAAATCTTAATAAAAAAAAATTGTAAGTATAGAATCTTAGTAAGTCTTAAAAGCAATTATCATAATTAATTGAGTAATTTTTCTTATCTTTAAATTTTAATATTTTATATTAAAATCAATAACTATATTGGCTTTTTATCTACATATATTTATTATATATATAATAAATAAATAAATAACTATTAATATTAGTTATTAATTTTAAAAAGTATAAGAAAGAATTTTATGTATTAATAATTATTTATATAAAACATTATTAAGGTAAAAAATATAGTCTCAGATTTATATTAATATTTTTAAAATATTATATAAATTTTTATAATTTATTTATAATTTATTTAGAATTTTATAAGAAGTTTTAAAAATAATTCAAAACTTGGGTAAAATTGAATTTTATCACTTTGGAAGCTATTATATAGAAATAGAGCAAGATTTGAAGGATATACAAGTTTTTTAGGCTTATTGGGTGTTTTTGAAGACCATCGTGAAGTAAAATCTGCAAAAGAAATAGTTATTTAAGTAAAAAAATAGGAAGACTAGCAACTAGTGTAATCCTTATAAAAAGGGATGTACACAAGTTTAATATATAAGTTGTAGTACCTTAGATGTAGGTAGGAGGATAAGCCTAAGACCTTGAGGCCTCTCTATGACATCCTTATACACTATATGTGAGCCTTGGTGACGTTCAAATCCTTGATCTATAAGCAAATAATCCTTATGGTAAAAAAAATCATTTAACTTTTTATCTTTAAACCTTCATAATTTACTCATAGTATACTAGATTTATATATTTCTTATACCATTAAAAAGATAATAAAATAAATTATTTAAAAATATCTTTTTATTTTTATTTTTTATTTTTTGCTAAATGGAAACCTAATAAACAAATTGTGACTAAGTTTTGGAGTGTGTCATTGCTTGATTACATTCATTTCCCTTTTTTTGTGTTTGTCTTTTTTATTCTTATTATTTTTTTGTCTAACTTCATACTAACAATTATAAACAACTCTTAATTGATGTCATCTTGTAATTTAGGTTGAAGGGTAAATTGTACCTTTACACAAGTATATTAATAAGTGTATTATAATGCATCCATTGTGTTCTTGATATTACATTCATTATATTGTTGGAAGTTGCTCCTCATGCAATGTCTCCATTCTAAATTCCAAATAAGGATAGTTATAGCTCTTCAACCTCTTTTTTATTATATTGTTACTTGATACAATTATTTTTTCATCAATAACACACTATAAGAAACAAAAATTAAAAATTAAAATACTTCTTATTTTTCATTTGATAGCTAAGATTAAGATACATTAGCTTTATTACAACTTCCAAATATTTGTGAAAATTCTCGCAAGAGAGTTGTAAGAAGAATTTCTAATTACAAATTTTTGGAAGAAATTTTCTAAAAGACACACCTAACAAACATACACATATATTGTGTTTTATTTTGCTATAAAGTATATTATTTTTTATAATAAGAATTTTTATTAATGACCTTGGTTTCCTTAATTTAAACACTCTTCAAGCATATATCAATATATATATATATATATATATATATATATATATATAGATAGATAATTATATGCAAAAAGAATAATCAATTAAATGTAATCTATAAAAATGATTCTAACAAATGTAAGCAATGTCTATCAAATACACAAGATATCAAAACCTTTATTAAACACAACTACCATGTTTAAAACTATTCAAAGAAGAATCTTACACTTCTACACTATAAAAGAATATTAGATAGGAAATTAGAGAATAGGGCTAAAAAATTGACATGGAATATGGAGTCTTAGGCAATAGTAGAAATTGAGAGTCATAAACAAATGTAGACTTGAAATTGGGAATATATAGTAGAAGTGGAATCAATACACTCATGCCTTTAATTCTAAATGAAAATATTTTAAAAAATAATAATAATAACTTTTAAAAATTAAAAATTACATAATTTAATCAAACAAATATATTTTAAAGCAAGATTAAAGGAATTTCGTATAAAAAAATCTTTTTAAGAAGATTTGGCTTGACTTGATTTTAATATATATTTAAAATTTATTGAAAAAATAATAAGTTGATTTTAAAAGATCATATAATTAATTATTTAACATCAAACTATTTTAATACTAGTCATTCTAAAAAATATTTTTTATTTAATAAAAACCACTTTAATCTTTTGCAATATAGATTAGTATATTAAATAATTCAATATACTTAACATGTAGCTAAGAATTTTGACATGTAGCTAAGAAATTTGTCTCTATACTATGTCTTATTTTTAAAAATTGATTGTAAATAATTAAATTTATTCTATTTTTATCTAAATATTTTATTATTTTTTAAAAAAATATTCATGTATTTAAAAGAATTAATTGTATTTTTTATATTATGTAATTTTATACCAACTATGATTAAATAAGATAACAACCATTTAATATTTTCTTATATTCGAAAATAACATATAGACTATAAGACTTTTTATCCACACATAGGACTAATATTAAAAAATAGAATATCTAGAGTGTTTTTGGTCTATAATACTTTCTTTGCATTTGTAATAAAGTTAGTAAAATTTGCTATATTTCTAAGATTCTAATTTTGACTATATTATTTGATCTTTTCTTCTAATTACATATCCTAGGTTTTTAAATTCAAATACTTTGCAATTAAAGAGTGTTGTAATATTTTTTATTTGTTTTAAAGAATTCATATAGAAAAATATCAATATAAGCACTATATTTTATAGAGTTTTTAAAAGCAAAAATAAGAAATTATATTTAAAATGCATTAAAACTTAATAAGCATCTTTATGAAGCAATTGCAAATTAGGTAAAGCAAAGATTGGATGCAAATCAAAAAAACTAGATCTCCTACTTTGTCAACAATTATTTTTTCTTGCTTATATCCATATCTCTAATTTAATAGCACATATGGCTACTTTAACAATGTTTTTTTTTTAAAAAAGCATAAATTGGAGATAGTATTTTATTTGACACTATTTGACATAATTAGGTTATAATGACATAATTAATATTTAATATATCATTATTTTAATGTTGAAACTTTTTAAAATTCCGAGATACAGACCATTCGCGTCCTTATTGTCTTTGATGTTGAAGCTACTGCTTTTTTGAAAATGAGTGAACCGACTCACTTCAGCTATTAGCTCATCTTTGGTGCCATTACAAGAGGCTATCACCTGCCAAGTGCAATTTTAAAAGTTAAGGAATGATGAGAATCTACGCACAGAAATTGGAACCGCCGTATTCGCCAATTCTAGCAACATTCTCACAAGTGACTTTCAACATACTTGCCCATCCGTCAAGGCATAGGAAAGAAATACCAATACTGCATCAGGAGCAAGCAACTTGCACAAAGATTTTCAATATTGAACCCTGCGGTCAATCAAAATCCTGTCAGAAATACTTACGACCTCCATTTCATAAGATCGAAAGCTACATGGGTAAGAAACTGCTGATTGACCCCGTCCCCACCAACGTGCGGAGCATCAATCCAGGAATGAAAATATAAAAACTTACCACGTATGTTATCGAATCACCCATTTTCACGCACCACAACCATCCAGAGGAAACAACTTTTTTGCGAGTGTAAGTGCTAAGGAAATCGGTGCAGCAGTTCCGAGACGGCAGGACTGGAGGAATCATAGAATCATGGGGATCGGAGTGCGCGGTTCTGTGTTCCCGGTTCTCCTTTTCCTCTGATATCCAGAGTGCTCATGGAAGAGAAACGTTGTGGGAATGATGGACAGAGATCGTGGATGAGCGACTGGTGATGGAACCTTGGCATGCAGCAGTGTGCAGCTCAGTGCCCCTGCAGTTGACCTAAACCCCTGCTGATGCTCTCGTAAACACCTGCTGTGTTGTGGCACTTGACCTTAAACCCCCGCTGCTTAAGTCCCCTGCCTCGCCGGTATGCTTCATCGATCAGAGGTGGTTGTTTCTGTAATCGCTTGCTTTCTTCGTATCCTCCCCCCGTAACCACCCTCCTTGCTCTTCATACTCGCCCCTCCCTCTTCCTATCCTTCTCTTTTCCCATGCTCCTTTTCTCACAATGCTCTCTCGTACCATGCGAATGCGCTATACCTCTGCTGCGGCTGCTGCGTCGGTATGTTTCTCTCCTTCTGTCGTCTCCGTGTAACACCTCTGCTCTTGTTGCACCTTTACCATCATCCTCAATTTGAATTCTCGTTCCTGTCGTTTAGCTCTCCCTCTGCTAAGTTAATCACTCGTGATTTTTTAAAATTTTCTTGCTCACCCTGTTTTATTCGTGGGTAATGTGCTTAATATGAATCTCTTACGTTGCGCGTTTTTCAGCTAGTTCGCAATGCTCGTTCTGAAATCGCACCCCGAAGCGTTGGGTGCGTTGCGGACGCCGCATCGCGTCACGGTTTCCCAGAACCAAATCCTCTGGGATCAACTCCTAGGCACATATATAAGCAAATGCTTCTCTCTGGACTGTTTGGAAAGCGACAGGGAGGGGTTCAAAGGTCTGGGGAATTTTGCCAATGTTTTTACAGTGGTTCTACTGGGAACCAAGCTCCACGAAGTAATGGGAACTCCAGTGATCATACATTTCCCGAGGGTATTAGCAGTTCTGGTTCGGTAGGTGAGCGGCCATCAGAAGCATCACATTCTCAATCATCCTTGGTGGCTGATGACTTTCGGTCACTCATCGTCAGCAAGAAGCGGGAGGTGGCAATTCTCGAGGCTGCCCTCGAAATGTTGGAGACGGCCCCTCGGAACAAATGGTTTCAAGATCTCGTGCAGAAACACAATATCCAACTTGGACCATCCAAGTCGTTCCTCAGTCTATCGAAGCCTCCGCTCCTCAAAACGGATGCTACTACAGTCGTGATTGGAGACCTCGTAGGGAAACGGAACATTCAATCTGAGCCGGCTCCGCAAGCACTGGACTCCTCTAATGGTGCGCTTTCAGAGAACACGTTTTTCGACGTGGAACCTGTTAAAGCAACAGATAGCCAGCTTGACAGGCCGTGGGATACTCCTAAGCTTGAATCACAAAAAACCAAGTCCTCCGCAGTGTTCGACAAGCTTTCCCTAGACGATTTTCCTTCTCCACAGGACCCCAATCATGGAAGATTGCAGAAGAAGTGGAGGAGGTTAGGAATGATGGAAAAATATGAGCGCAACAGCAGAAATGAGCCAGTGAATTTTGGAACTGATGCAAAAAACACTTACGGGGGTTCAAGACCAGTAAGTGGTCCTTCTTATTTTCTTTAATTGCAGCTTTGTGTAGTTTGTATGATTGTCTAACACTTGAAGGTCATGTTATACTTCTAATTTAGTTTTTTGCGAGGGGCCTGTTCTAAGAGTATATTATCGTGGGATAATAGGGAGAAGAGTCTTCCGAGGCGAGTTCTCATAACGAGCAGAGAGTTGATAAGCCCTACAAGAGTTTAGCGGACCGATTATACGAAGAGCATTTCGGACGCCCAGCGCCACCCGGTTTGAAAAGAACATACCCGAAGGGATCTTTTTATGACCGTTGTATGAAGAAAAAAGAACAAGAGGAGAAAGAAGCTGCCCAAGCGGGCTCACCACCTACGTCTAAGAGTGTATCATCATTACCTACCTCAAGATCGACTGAGGCTGGCGTCTCAGTCAGTTCCCACGGGGATGAGATTAATGACAATGTGAGTACAAGGAACATTGTAAGCCACGATTTGAACCAGGAGAGGAAACCAGGAGCGTGGAAATGCCCCGAGTAAGCGTTTCTTTTTCTAGAGTATGCTTCATGTTTACTTTTCTGTAGTTTCAATGATTTCGTACGATAAGTCCAGTGACACGCCTGTCCTGAGGGGCATGGCTAGTATTACAGTGTCTGTTCTTTTTGCAATCGGTTCTCGCTAGACATTTCGTTGAAACTCATACGATTAACATTAAGCAACTAAAAAAATTGTTATCTAAAGCAGAGTGTTTGGTGTGTAGTATATTTTGGGACTCAGTGATTGTGCTTTCGCTGGTTGTCAGGTGCACCTTCTTCAATCTTGCGTCAGATAAGCATTGCTACAGGTGTCAAGCACGGCGTGGGGAGACTGGTCTGGTTGATGGGAGAGATTCAGGAAGACGGTCATTTAGAGAAAGATAACCGACTTAATGGAACGTCTACAGTACCGTTAGAAAGTACGTCGAAAACAGTGCCAGTTGCGTTTGATGCACGAAGTAAGCAACGGCTGGGGGCATATAATACATCTCCATGGCGATGCCATTCTGCACCAACCACTCCTTTTCCTGTTGTGTCGACTGAGAACCTTCTCTACCCAGTTCATTCTAACCTTGAGATGATTTTTTCGAATCAGGTATTGCTGCCATTCAGCAGTTGCATGCTTATGTTGTATCTGATGACGATTATGAACTCCTCAGTTTCTCTTGTCCTAGAAACCCCTGGTCAAGCTGAAACTAGACAGGTATCCATTTTGACGTAGGGAATCCAAATGCAGTGAGTGTTTATTTCGGCGATCTGAATGCGGATCCTACGGCATGTGAGTCACAAACGTGTTCTTCTATGATATCTCCCATAGGTTGTCGAGATTCTCAATGTTACAGCAATGCTTTCATGCTGGGTTGATTTAGAGAGAGAGAGATTTCACGTCTAGCTAAGTCCTTTGACATTCAACCGTTGAGATTTTATTCAATTCGAACTGACCACTTGGATGGTTAAGTAAATTTAACGTGGTATTACATGCTTCAAGTCCAAGTGAAACCTTACTTTGGAAGTACTTCAAAACAACCAGAACAACCATAGCGATATTTGTGTGGTTGCACAAGTGTATTTACCACATTTTACCACAAGTGTACTTGCAGAAGTCTTCTCATTTAAAATGACACATCCATAGGATAAGTCGCAAGGAAATCTCTGTCCAAAAATATTCTCAATCCTAGATAGGACGTGTAGTTGACAGATAACCAAAGTTTGTTGTAATGGACATCGAACAATAGTTTCAAAATTTTGACCAACTGAATGCTTTTGCATGTACAAATTAGAAGATCATATTTTTGTTCAGTAGTGTGAAATAAAACTATGAATTTAGTTTTTTGAAACATTGATAACTGATCCATATATGTTGATGTAATGATACTTCGACAAAGTGTATAAATTATAACTGCTTTCGTAAAAATTATGGTACCAGTCCAATTTATTGAAGTGGCAGGGTATTATCAATGTTGATATTCTTTAAAAAAATAAAAAAATAAAAAACAATCGTATTTATACATTACTCACTTACTTATCTACACCTACACGTCAAGAACATAGTGAGGAATAGCAGAAAAAGTAATGTAAAAATTGACATATGTAAGTATATGTCTATCTCTAATTGATGTTTGCAAGGGCAAGGTGAATATCATTTGAAAATTATTGTAGAGTTTAAAATTGTATGTATGTATGTATGTATGTATGTATGTATGTATGTATGTATGTGTGTGTGTATATTGATTTGCATTTAACCTTTAGTTACATGAGTAGGACATCTTTAAACTTTAACTTTTGATCCAGAATTTAATGTTATGAAACTTCTTTCTTTTCTTTTTTTTAATTTTTTCTGTAATTTTCAATCAATTATATATTTGATCATATCCGACTTGTGATTTTTAAAATCTCGCATCAAAAACTTGAATGACCTAGTAATTAAGTTTATTATTAATGTATAGAATTTTGTGGTGAAGGATTTCAGTTCTTTAATTTTTTTATACCTTGAATGATGATATTGATTTAATAATCAAATACATTACACATGTGAAATGCACGTAATTCATTGTATTACACAACACAATTCATTAAAAAAAAATCAATTGAAAAATAGTATAAGACCTGAATTATTGTTGAAGATCATGTTCTGCAGAAATAAAGTGATAAAGTAGGACCATCAACTTAAATCATGTGATTTCCTATTGTTTACCAACCATAAAGCAAAGATGTTTTTGACACAAGACATTTAATCTTCATATTTAAAGGATCAATAATTTAGCTCTATGAAAACTCCACCAAAGAAAAAGTTTGCTTAATTTTATAAGTGGTACTTGATTGAATATCAAAGATACAGCTTCAAAACCATTGCTGTTTGAATTACATGCATGAGAACATATAAATTATATTATTCCAGAACAGAATACTTATTTAATTTGACGAAATAGAAAAATCGTGTCATCTGAAAGTCAGATGGAAATAACAAGGGCATAAATGTCAGGATAATGGATACATTAATTCCATAGTAAAAGAACATCATACAATCTAGAGTAGGACATTAAAACAAAATAATAAATCAATCAATCAATCAATCAATGTAGTAAGTTCTACAATTCCAGACATAAAAAATTGATGGTTGTCTAGAAACAATTTTTTCATTGTAAGGTAACAAATGACTCTACAACAGATGGCTGACAACCTTTGGAAGACAAATTCCCTACTTCTTATCAATTTCATGTATCCAAAATATAAATGAGGGTGAGGATTCAAAAATACCATCACCTTACAATTAAAATTAAATAAAAGCTTAAAAGAAAAGAAACACATCTCATCACAACACATTTGTAGAATTTTCAGTTGGAAAATACGATTTTGCACGTCATTAATTAAAGAGGAATATTAAATAGACCCAGTTTTTTTACTAAATTGACCTACCCATATGAAGAATATGATAATCATAACGAATGTGGTTGGTTTTCATTGGTTGCAAATTCAGTAGTGAAGAAATGAATATAGAAGTCATTTTTTTCCCACAATGGGTGGATTGATTTAGTAAAAACCTGAGTCTATTAAAAACATGTATACAGGGGGATGAAGAGACGTAGATGAATGATATTCCACTTATCATCCATAAGGAGGAGGAGACATTTGTTTTTGATCGACCCTGCCCTGCCCGAAGTGAATCCTGGGCAGCGTGAGGGAGGGGTAGCTCTACTTCCTATTGTATTGATTCAATTGTGTTGGGCACCACCAACACTACTCCCATCCCTCCTTCCAATCTGAGTTAGGTCAGTTCAGTCCAGCCCCGTCCTCGTCCCCTTCCCTCACTCACTCGCCTTCTCCTCGTCCTCCTGCAATTCGCTTCTTACTAACGTTGAATCTTGAAGCATCATGTTCTTCGTCTCACACTTCGTGCCACTCTCTTCGAACTCTCCAGCCACTTACCACCTGCTTTCTCGTCTTGTCTCGTCTGCACACTCCTTCTGACTTGTCTTGTTTTCTCTTTTTTCTCACTCTGTTTTTTGATTCGATTGCATCGAGCGCTAGTGTTGTTAGATCAGCCATGCACTCATGCCCCAGCTTAGTGCAGTTGTAGCACCATCGCCAGTGGTGAAGTCTCCCGCTATGGATGGTCGAGGCGGAGGAGGCGGAGGGATCTTCAACGGGGATCGCACTAGTAGTCTCAATCAAACCCTCCGCAAAGTTACTGGGTATGTACATGCATGCATACTTCAATACCTACTATTTTTGCCTTTCTTGCCCTCCTTTCCTACCAGATCCACCACCCACTCTGCCATCGTCTTGGCGCTCCCGGAGCCCACGGTGGATCTGTTCCTTTGAGGAATGTGCACGCATTTCTGTCGTGTGTTTCACTGCTTTTCTTTTCCGCTTTTTACTTTTATTTATTTCTACTTCTTTCTTCTTCCCTTCGTGCTTTGTGCTTTGCGCTTGGGACAGTTTTAACAAGTGAATTGCGTGAGATGCCTGGCTCTGTGAAGAACCCTGAGTCCTATTAGCATTTCTCAGTGGAAAAGACTGTTCATGGAGCTGTAAATAACATCCAAGGTTCTAGAGCAGCCCGACCCCTTCCACCATTAGGCGTCATAGCTTTAGAGATTTAAACATTGCTGAACGCTTGTCTAAGCGGCCGGTATATGTGCATTTGACTATTTTGCTTATTGAGACGGTCTAGATGTGAAATTGATGCCAATGATACGAAGAAGTGGGCATGCATGTGAATGTGACATCCTTCGCCCTTTTAGGAAAATATGAACCCTATACTCACAGGAATCTTGGTTAGAAAAATTCAGCAAGCAAGAACATTACCGGCTGTATCTTGTTGTACAAGTATCTGTACATCTTTGTCGAATCTTCATTCGCAGGATGCTAGGCGTAGGGAGGATGCTGGGTCGGAAGGAGTCAAATGGTGAAGCATCAACCTTGGATAGCAGAGACGGAGGTGAAGGTTGCAGTCCCGCCGACAGTGCAGGCCCTTCTCTTACAGAATCTAAGGTAAGCTTTCAGTCTTTTCTATGATTTAAATCTGCGCGGCTTGTTATCATTTTCTCGAGCTTTTTTCATTCAGCTGCGTGCTTTACTTGTTATGTACAGTCGAAGTAACACAGAACCCTGTTCAGCTAAATTCCTCTTCATGTTATTAACAGAGCTTCACGAGCGATGCAAGTGACAGCAATGGGGAGCCTTTCGCTTCATCACCCAGATACCCATTTGATACTTCCTGCAGAGGCAGTGGGTCGGAAAGCTCCAGACTCCCAGGGGGGAGAGCTACGGATGCTGCTCGGGTCGCTAGATTTAAGAAGATTTTAGCTGCCCAAACTGTTGATGTAGGTGAGTCATTTTCATCTAGCTTCAGTGCTCAATATGCTTTTAAGGTGGTTGTGGTTAATAAACACATATGGTGGCTGAAAGTAGTTCACTAATTTGGTCAGTGATATGCTACAACTACCCTTCTTTATTTTATTTGAGTGTTTTCTCCTGCGCATGAAGTTCTGAGACACCCATTCCAAAACTGGTTTCTGATAACATTTAACCATGTTCGGCGTTCTATGTTGGAGCAGATGCTCTACGAGAACTTGCTTGGAGTGGCGTGCCTCCGTTTCTTAGGCCAAATGTTTGGCGGCTGCTTTTGGTTAGTCAGTTCGCATTGTTCTTTAGTATTTTGCTTCGATATTTTTGGGGTAGATCTCTTTGAGTCGCTTCATATGGCCTGTAGCAACATAGCGGCGATTTCAGAATCCTACACAAAAATTCTTTTTGTCAAGAAGATAGTGACATATATTACGTGTGAAGGGGTATTCGTCACCCAATGCAGATAGAAGGGAAGCAGCTCTGGCCCGAAAGCGGCAGGAGTACCTGGATTGTGTTCCACAATACTATGATATTCCAGATAGTGATCGAACGGATGATGAAATTGTCATGCTGCATCAGGTTTGCTTCTATTTAGCTGTACAGTTAGGGTACCCTTCAGTTTATTCTGATTTTGTTCATGTTTGTTTGTTTGTCTGTGTTTGTTTTTCTCGTTTTGACATTGGATGGTTTTCATGAGACAAGTCTCAGTAAGTGCAGATGCAGTTGTAAAGACGTGAAAGTAAATTATCTGTCACATGATGAAACCAAGTTTTTTGTGATTTGTCATCCTGCAGATAGGAGTAGATGCACCAAGGACACTGCCTGAAGTGCCATTTTTCCAGGACCCCATTGTCCAGGCGACCTTGAAGCGCATTTTGTATATATGGTGTGCAGCACTTTCAACCGACAAACTTACAAGCTTAACTTGATCAAAAGCGTATCGATGTCTCAGAAAAGGAGCTAGCTGATGTTATATTTTTTCTCGTAAGATGTGTTTGTTCATATATATATATATATATATATATAATTGATACCGTATTATTGACAAAAAGATTCGATTGGTGTTTTGTTTTGTTTTGTTTTGTTTTTTTAACAATCAGGGCCATCCGACATCCAGCTAGCGGTTATGTCCAAGGTATCAATGATTTGGCTACACCTTTTATTGTTGTATTTCTATCAGAGTACCTGGAAGGTGATATAGATACCTGGGACTTGAGCAAGCTTTCTCCAGGCATCATCTCCAAGGTTAGCTCTCGCCATAAATGAAGCGTATTTGTTTTGCTTGTTGTTATGACGTACATCCTTACCAACTTATTATGAGAATTTTGGTAAGAGATTTGGAGGTTTGTGGTACAGGTTGAAGCAGATTCTTTCGGGTGTCTGTCAAAGCTGCTGGATGGTATTCAAGATCATTACACATTTGCGCAGCCAGGCATACAACGGCTTGTATTCAGATTCAAAGAGCTTGTTCGTCGCATTGATGGTGACTATCTCTGTTTTGTTATACTTGTGTAACTTATTAGTTGTTGGTTTAAAACTGAAGAGTCACCGAATTTCGTTTGTGTTGCGTAGTTGAGAGTATGCCCCTTTGTGTTTTTAAGTTGGCTGTACAGCGTGCCTGATGATCAGTTTCTATTGAGACGATGGGGGCGGAATAGTACTTCGTTTGCCCCTGTGTGCATCTACTGAAATGAAGTGGTCTCTATCAATACATTAGATCAATTACGGATAAAGACAGCCATCTTCATATCATCCAAAATGATAAATAATTCTGTCATATCTACGCATTTAAGAATTGGTTCGGGCGTGCAGAACCCGTTGCGAGGCACTTGGAGCAGGAGGGACTGGAGTTCCTTCAGTTTTCATTTCGTTGGCTGAACTGCCTCCTCATCCGAGAGGTAACAGTTTAATCCGTTTGGTTTGAAGCTCTTATTGTCTGTTAACGTAAGTACATCCAGAGGGACTACAAACAAGCTTCTGACGTATGTTAAGTAATTTAAGCTAGGTTAGAATTAGAAAGAATTAGGTTACAGCAATCGTGGATTCTTATTAAGAGGATATCAACTTTTATGTTCTTTTGTTTGTTTTCAAGGCTCGCACCGTAAACTGTGAGTCTATATAAGAAGACTTGAGCTCAGACTGTTCTGCATTTGACAGACTTCCCCAGATTTTTAGTTATAGTTATGCCATACCAGTCTTTATTTGTAATGATCTTTAACGATTGCTTGAGCAGGTTCCTTTCCAGCTTGTGGGTCGTCTATGGGATACATGGTTAGCAGAAGCAGATAACTTTCCAGAGTACCTCGTATACGTATGTGCCAGCTTCCTACTCACTGTAAGTTGGGCTTAGACTTTTATCATCAAATTTGGGTGCTCGATTTGCATTGAGTTCTGCAATCATTAGAACCTTGAACTGTTGCGACTCCTTTCAGATGACTATATCTTTAACTTAAATTAATTCGTATTTCTTGTTGGATTATTTGTCAAAGTAGAGGCAATTGTGTGTTTTCTGCAATTTTCTTTTCAGTTTCATAACTATCCAGCTCTGCTAGATTTCGTTTGTTTACACTGGTTGTTCTCTTGAGAGTGTTTCGCCACCCAGCCAACCACTCATGGCCGCATTTATCAATTCTTTCTCCAAAATCGAGCTGTTGATTTGCGGAGTTTGGTGTTTTTGGATGCAGTGGTCAGACCAGTTACAGCAGCTCGATTTCCAGGAAATGGTCCTGTTCTTACAGCATATTCCGACCAAGAATTGGACTCATCAAGAGTTAGAGATGGTATTATCTCGCGCTTTTATGTGGCGGGTCATGTTCGATCGTTCTCCGTCCCACTTGAATTCAGGCTAGAATCACTTCCTTCTCGTCCAGTTCCTTCGTGTTCCTCATTCATTCAGATGTAAGCAGTATCACTGGCATAAGGAGGGACATTCCTGATTCTCTCACGGTTTCTTGATATTGTTATAATCATCATGTGGTGGTGATACTTCTACCCTCTTAGTGGTAGGGTTAGTTGCTCATATAGACGTTCACTGAATTTGCGAGCAGTTTCTCACCCTTGGTGAGCAGAGTGTATATAGCACCCTTGTCATATCAATAAAAGTTTTCTGTTCATTCTGTACATTATATTTTTATTTGCAAAGGGCTGTCAAAGAGCCGACTGTCTTGGTGATTTTTGAATGTGACTTGGTTTCTAGGCTTTTTGGGTAGTATGACTTACTGTTTCTATGCCAGTGGGAATTTTTTTCTACCAAATTTGTATTTGATTTGGTAGGGGTAGCATTTTCAACTGGTATCGAGTAGTGGATTTAGAACCTGAGGAAGACGAGACTAAATCTGTTACCCCTCCAATGTAACACTTAGAAATTTACCTTTTCATGTTGCACATCTTGAAGCCATCAGATTAAGGATGTTGAAAATCCGCTTTATTAGCCTTACAACCAATCTCACCGTTTTAAACCTGATCATTGGGTTCCTTTTTCCATGGTTAGAATTCTAGGGTACTAGGTGTTGCTTTAATACCTCTTCAAACAACAATACTCTTGCATTTTTAACTTAATTGAATAATAATAATAATAATAATAATAATAACAGTAACAATGTAATATTAAATTGACATGTGTTTTATTATACTTAAAAACAAAAGTCACTAAAAGATTGACTGAATTGACGATGGTTGTAAAGTGGTTATAATGCCTAATAATTGCAATACTTAAAGATATATTGTATAATGATGATAGGTAACTAAATGTGTACTTATCTAAAATTATTTTGACTTATAAATAGTTATATATAATGCAATAGCAATGAAGAGCTTCCAAGCATGTTGAATCTTTGAAAACTGGCATAGCTATATTTTTAAGCATATATATATATATATATATATATAAAATTGGTGTATGATAAAAATTACTTGATGGTAAGTAGTAAGAATATTGGAGGTGCATATTATATTTAGAAAGAGCCAATTATTAACATAGATGGGTGAGAGAAGAAGCAAAAAATTAAAAGAACAAGGAAAACCACAATGAGAAAGAGAAAGGCCAAGAGATATGTATTAGCAAATAAGGGAGTTGTTGGAGCAGGATTAAAAGATGGGAGATGTGTGAGATATTGTTTGGAGATGAGCAAAAATAAAAAAGAATGGTGGCAAAAATCTAACTTGAACATGGCAGATTACTTATAATTAGATGTTTGAATTTTTGTTGCTTCATCCACACATTTACATCTGGAGATAGCACAAAATTAGTTGAATTTTAATAACATTATTAGGTGCCATGTATCATGGTTTTATAATCCCACTCGTCAGAATTAGATTGGCCTATATGTCAAAAAAATGTCAAAGAGAATCTTGAGCTAAAATATTTATATAAATTTTGTTTTTTGTGCTTTAAAAAGGCTATTTCTTTCTAACAGTCTTTAAAATGTTCAATAAATATCTTGGTTCTGATATAAAATGATCATGTCATTTTTAGAATCTTTTGATTAAAAAACATGTTAATTTTAATCTGATATTAGTGTAAGAAAAAAAATAGAAAAGATAAAGAAAACAAAATAAAACACTTGCATGACCTATGTAGATAATTCAACTTCAACAATTCTTTAATATTTTAATGTATTTAATTCAACTATATAGAATAATCTATACTTTATTATTTATTTATTTATTTATTTCTTTATTTATTTTGTGGAATAAGATTATATGTTTACTTCATTTTGTTAATAATAATTTTTTTTAAAAATCAAATTAATTTGTAAAGATTTAATTATTGTTTTATTCATTTAAATCACTACATTTTATAACTAAATTGGATAAAAAATAAATTATAAACTTGTCATATTTCACTTATATATTAGATGTTATACATCACTTTAATTTTTTAAAAATTAATTGGTATAATTTAAGATATATATATATATATTCTCAAAATTCACTTCTTATTGTTGTTTTGCTCTATATGTACGTATATGCTTTAAAAATATAAAAAATTAAAAAAAGAAAAAATAAAAATTAGAGAAGTAAAATAAAGAAAAAAATTGATCCAACACATAATATGTTAAAATAGTTTTGTTTTGATTTATATTTAATATATACTTACAACTCTTAAAAAAAAACATGTTTATTGATTATTCTTATTAAGTCTTGAAGACAAAAAATAAAATAAAAAATAAAATAAAATAAAATCATTTGTGATGACCAAAAAAGAGCTCATAAATGTAAGATTTTCTATTAATATTAAAAATTAAATTTATATACGTAAAAGCTAAAAAAAAACAACTATTTTACAAAAAATATTTTGATCCATGTAGTAGCCTCTATATGCAGTTTCGGTGCATGTCTACAAGAAATCCAAAACATGGAATATGGGTGGAGTTGGTGGAGTAATTAGTCAAAGAATTTGTTCAACACTAGTTCTTATGCTACAACAAAACCTCTTCCAAACTATAATTTCATTGCATAATTTCATCTCTTCTAGGAATTTACCTAACATACAACCTAAAGATGAAAATAAGAACTCAATGTCTTTTCTTAAGTCAATAATTTGAGCAAGCTCAAGGAAGAGATTTAAGACTAGTTCTTGATGTACCTAAGTTAGAAAAGATTAAAATATATTAGTTAGGTAATGGATGAAAAGATTTCATTAATGAAGAGGTTGACAAATATGGTGTAGTTTCTAAAGAACCTTACTTGAACAAGGCCATTAAAGTATTTCTTTTAATGTGAAAGAATATGATAAGCAACAACTTTATTTAATATAATGAAAGACATTAAGAATTTCTCAATAAGTAAAGTTGATATTTTGACAATTGCTTATAGGGCTACAAGGTTTGTCATTCATATTTTGGTTTTAATACAAGAATTGGTCCAAGATTGCTCACGTAATTGTTCAACTTGAGGCATATCTGGTTTATTGGTTGTGCATTCTTGATTCACCTATCTTTTCTAAAGACTTAGAAATATGTTGAAAATCCATGCTTACAATCAAAATACAATCAATAGATGATAAAACTACAATGGATAAACTTACAAGGCAAAAATATCTACAAATATGTGCCTTGTTTGAGGCTTGCTTAGCTGACAACTTTATTTTACAAGAACTCTTATAGAAATAAGAAGTGGACTTAGCACAAATCTTGTATTAGCCAACAAGATCATAGAAGAGCCTAATTTGTAGAACTAGTAGAAATATTTTCCACTCTAATATTTTAATATAAAAGTTGCTTGTTGCAACAATCTTGGTAGGTATAAAGATATATATTTGTTTGATATATCTATTGAATTTATATTATATTTGGATAGATTTCATCTCATCACCATCATATATCTTTGTTAAGTTAAGTCTTATTTGGAAATTCATGATGACCTTTGATAGAGCTAATTCTATCATGTATTAGTAATATATTATATTACTATTTATATCAAATTTATTATAATAATAATCACATTTATTATGTTCTTTTCTAAAGACATCAGCTATAATATGAAAATTTACAAGTACAAGAACTCAGAGCTTATTGATAAAGGAAAAAAAAATTATTGTCATTTTCCTAGAAAGATGAATTACTCTAATGGCCAATAAAAAAATCCTATGTCAACAAATTTAGAAGTTCTTTAGAAGATCACAAGGTTTCAAAGAAAGATTAGCATATGGAATTGAATTATTTAATACAAAAGATCTTGATTAAAGAAACTACTTTATGCCACTATAAATCTCCAAACAATCCTTTCATGTAGCAAAAATGAGACATTTCCAAGAACTTTAAGGAGTGAAGTTATCAAATTCATGACCCAAAGGCAATCCTATCTAGCATTGGAGCCAAGACTATATTTGTTTTCTTATCCAAGCAGATTTGATCCAAGATCCATTCCTAGAGTACTCCAATTGTAATGTGAGTTTTGAATTTTTAGCTCATTTATAGCTAATCTTTGCTTGAGTTATCTAAAGCCTTTAAGGCACTTCAAATATTAGCAACTTGATTGAAAATTTTCATACTTTATCAATTATGTAACATAAATTAGTTCTTTAGCCACAGTGCAATTATCCACCTACTTAGTACCACTCCATGCTATCACCTGCACTATATTTACAAAGCTCCATCATTGCATAATAAATGGCTAGCTATACTTCCATGGCCTAATAACTGAATTCCATTGGCTAATTTTTATATTTGGTAAAATAATCTTTGCATCATATTGGATATAATTGACTTATTGTACTTTAATTATTGAGATGCTAGGCAGAAGAATCATAGTTACTTACATTATATAATATTTTATTATCTTTCAAAAGAAAACAAACATACTTTTGCGTAATTCCTTAGCAATGCACCAAAGAAGGATTCTTTGGATGAGACTTTATTCTATTTATAAAAATATATCATTTTATGGATTTTTTCCTCTCATAGTACTATTAGAATATAAAATCAATTGAGCCAGCCTTAGATGCCATCTAATAAGAATCCTTATTTCTTATGTCTATTTTTTTTCTTGAAATTGAAAAACTTGTCATATTGAGAATAATGGCAAGTATTGACAATTCATGCATTTAGTCCTTTTCTAGCACTAAAAAAATTTGGAATCACCATCCCAACAATAGAATTGGAGATGGTCTACATACAGACCTAAATAGCCATTGCATTTGTAATTGCAAAAGATACCTCACCTACAAATTCCAAGGATTTATTTTTAGTTCTTTGTGAGTAATTGGTAGCAATGATAACATATCCGATAGCTGAATTCATGCTAGAGGATCAAGTATTGCATAATATTTTCCATGTCATAGAAATAGTTAATAGTATATTTGCAAGCTCCTCCTATCACTACTTCCTCACCATTAATTAAATTGGTTATAGTGACATATATCAAACGTACTTATGAGCATTATACTCATCTTATATAACTACCTACATTTGTTTTTGGAAAGTTTTTTTTCAATGATAACTATCTTATCTTTATTTAAGAATTCATCATTGTAGCTAATGGATATAGTACTTCAAACATGTATCAAATCTTATAATATTATACTTCTTTATTGAAAGATATCCAAGAATTATTTCTATCTCAAATTGATTGCTTCATCTTGCTTATGTAGGTACAAGTTTAATACTCAAGTAAGAAATTATTT